GAAAAAAATAAATGAAAGTGCAAAAGTATTGAGGAATCAATTTGAATCCCTCGAGAGATTTTAGTAAATTAACATAAATTAACTGATATGCTTTTATTTTAGAATAGAGTGCCTTGCTTGTAAATAGAATAACAGACGATTTAAATTAAATTGAACAATTGGTCAATATGAATCCCTCTTCGACAAATTGTTTAATGAGGAGAGAGAGGGTCATACCCTGAAGTTGGTTGACTCATTAGAGGATACCAATAGACGCTTGGTGAAGAGAATCCGAGAGGCAGAGATCAGAGAGGCTGAAGAGGATGAAGGGTGGGAAAGCAATGGGCCCTGATGGTATCTCCATTGAGGTGTGGAGATGCTTGGGCTCCAGAGCGTTAGTATGGTTAACTAAGCTTTTTAACCTCATCTTCCGGTCAAACAAGATGCCTGATGAATGGAGGAGAAGTACTTTAGTACCGATCTTCAAGAACAAAGGTGATGTTCAAAGCTGTGGTAACTACCGTGGGATTAAGTTGATAAGCATAGGATGAAGCTCTAGGAGAGGGTTATTGAGCATCGCCTACGACGAGTAACGAGTGTGACCCAAAACCAATTTGGGTTTATGCCTGGAAGGTCGACCATGGAGGCGATTTTCCTAATACGACAGTTGATGGAGAGATATAGAGACCAAAAGAAGGACTTTCACATGGTCTTTATCGACCTTGAGAAAGCTTATGGCAGAGTTCCGAGGAATGTCATGTGGTGAGCCTTAGAAAAGCACAAAGTCCCATCTAAGTACATTACCCTCATCAAGGATATGTACAAGGATGCGACGACATGTGTCCGAACATGTGGGGGCGATACCAGCGACTTTCCAATTAAAATAGGACTACTCCAGAGGTCAACATTGAGCCCTTATTTATTTTCCTTGGTGATGGATGAGGCCACAAGGGACATACAAGGTGATATCCCTTGGTGTATGCTCTTTGCTGATGATGTGGTGCTAGTTGACGAGAGTAGGGCAGGAGTAAATAGGAAGTTAGAGCTGTGGAAGGACACGTTAGAGGCGAAAGGCTTCAGACTTAGTAGGACGAAGACTGAATACGTGACGTGCGCTTTCAGAATGGCTACTCATGATAGCCTTGACGGGCAAGTGGTGGCCAAGAAGGAGACTTTTCGGTATTTAGGATCGATGCTACAAAAAGATGGCGGCATTGATGAAGATGTTAGGCACAGATTTGCAGCCGGTTGGTTGAAATGGCGTCAAGCTTTAGGCGTTCTCTGTGATAAGAGGGTGCCACAATGGCTAAAAAGTAAGTTCTATATGACGGCGATTCGCCCGCCGATGCTATACGATGCTGAATGTTGGCCTACAAAAAGGTAACATGTCCAACAACTAAGTGTAGTAGAGATGCAGATGTTGCGCTGGTTTTGCGGGCACACAAGAAGGGATAAAATCCGAAATGAGGATATTCGAGATAGGGTCGGGGTGGCTCCAATTGAGGAGAAATTGGTTCAACATCGGCTGAGGTGGTTCGGACATGTCCAACGGTGGCCTCCTGATGCACCAGTGCGTAGGGGGAGTTCTACAGCGGGCCGATGATGTTAAGAGAGGTAGAAGTCGGCCTAAACTCACTTGGGAAGAGTCTGTCCAGAGAGACCTTAAAAATTGGAATATCTCCAAGGATTTAGCGGTGGATAGGAGCGCTTGGAGGCTAGCGATCAACTTGCCGGAACCATGACTTTTGCTCCTTTCTCTTTTGCTCCAATCTCTTTCTTTTGTTTTGTTTTTGTTTTGAGTTTTGTTTTGTTTTGGTTTTTGTTTTGTTTTGTTTTGAGTCTTTTTCTTTTTGGTTTGTTTTTTTGTTTCTATTACCACTGTTTCTTTTGGGTTTCATCTCTAGTTTACCTCAACTTGTTCGAGACTAAAAGACTTTGTTGTTGTTGTTGTAATTCAATATGAGAAAACATGTAACTAAAACCTGCGTTAAAGTGATAAAAATATCATAAATTAATAAAATAGAAATAACAAGTTATGTAACCCTAATAATAGTCTGTATACGGTTTTACTCGTCTTAATTTTGCTTCAATTTTGACCTAATATGTCTCACTTACATGCTGCACTTATTCATTTCTCCCGTAATTTTTTGGAATTAAATAGACCTGTATACAAATCAAACACTAATGAACAAAAAGCATGTGGATAGAAGTTTGTTCGTTAATTGAGAAAAATTAATTAGGTTAGTTTGTTAATCAAAAGAACACATGAATATTTGATAATAATCACGAACATTAACTTAATTATATTTTATTTTTATATATTTATATGTATGATATTTTTATAGAAATACGTAATATTATTTTTTCAATTAAAACAAATATTTCAAGCTCGAACAACTTAAACTAAATAATCAAATAATTTCAATAAATTATTTACTAAATTATTGAACAAACAAAAAAGAACTTTGGTGGATAATTAAACAAACTATTCGAATACAAATTTTTATAAAGATTTGATTATTTTTTAAATAGTAACTATTTCCCGTAAAAAAATATTGTTTACTAATTCTGGAACTAATTAAACATTTTTTATGGTATATTTTAAAGATACAATTAAGGAATTGCGGCTGATTTATTGAGGTAATAAATCACATGAAAAATTCTTTTGTATCCCAAGATATGCATATCATATAGTTGTACATATATATCATTTATTTGTACTTAAAATATAGAGATCTATCACATTCATATCAAACATTAAATTTACTTATATATTTCTAAATTAATCACATCAATAAATAACATTAATATATATTAAATATTTATCATTATATATAAAAAAAGAATATTACTTCTATAAATATTATACATAATATTGACATTATACGACAATAAATTTTTGAATAAAATAATATTTGAGTATTATGATGAACCAAAATATGTAAAATTATTAGTTTTTTAATATATATGTTAAAATGTTATTTATATTTGTTGTTATGTGATTGATTGTTAACAACGACTTTGTTCGAGATTAGTTAGGAGTTTTTAAAGTAGATTGAACGTAAAGCATGCATCAAAACGAGAACAATGGTCCCGGTCCGAGGTGAACCGAGGTGAAAGGTGTTGGACTTTTTTGTTTATATCGCAATATTTAGAGAGCGATCCCTGTACAAGTATAAGGATTTTCTATTTAAATTATCTTTTTGGGCATGTATTTCGAGGTGTACGGCCGCTTTTTCGTAAAGTGACTTTTGGATGGGCGGCCATATATGAGCGGGACCCACATAAATGATGAGATTTCTTGTGGTGCTAGAATGTGTCGCGTGTGCGCCTTGTCACCAGCTTTGGGTATGGCGACCTCGGTTTGTGGTGACTTCCATTTTCATAGGGCAGGTCGGTTTTCTCCACGTCGGATCAAAGTTTAGTCGTAATATAAACCGAAGTGATCAGGGCTTAGGTCAGTGCCAATAATGATCCTTCTAACACGTGATTTCGGGTGAGTAACCGTGGATTACCAGGTCAGATGATAATAATATTAATATAAACGGATCACGGGCTAATATATTGCCAAAATAAAATTTTGCAAAAATATTTTACATTAAGAAATCCCCATGCATCGCATGAGATTCACTATTATATCAATAAAAACTATATTTAAACAAAATGAATACAAGCTAAATTGTCCAAACTAGTGAACTCTAGAAAAACAGCTCTCTATAAATAAAGCAATTAATTTCGATCACCACAACAGTCTATAGATCAATTATATATTCTATTTCTGATATTGATAAGGAAAAAAAAGTAAACATTATTCATTTTATGCATGGCCCCACGTTATCCAATATCACACCACTCAAGGCCGCACACCTAAGCTTGCTAAGCTAATTTTTTTTTTTTAAAAAAAAAAAGAAAAAAAAATACCCTCGTTATCGTATACGCAAAGTAGCTAAAATTGGATATGGATTTCAATTCCATTTTCATCTACATACTTTTGACAGACTCCTCCAATTATCATCAAACAAATTATTCCTACTTTTGGTTTCATCAACTTCGGTTTTGCTATGAAATTAACTGTTGGTTCTACAGCGGAATCAACATTCTATATACAATAAATAAACTTACTATATTAATAAAAGTGTAATACTATAGATATATAATAGTATACATAGGGGTGTACATAACATTCACATTGAATGAGACCCACCAAAAATAAAAATCAAGTATTATGTACATCTCTATAGCATTTTCCTTAATAAAATTATATAGTGTTATTTAAGTAATCAGAGAATATAATATATTTATTTATTGTATATAGAAAGTTGATTTTACTATAAAGCTAATCGAAAACCGAAATATGAAATTGCGCATGAGTTACGTAGGTTGATCCACAACATAGATAAGTATTTATATTATTAAATGTCATGCTTTTGGTAATATTGATTTTAAATCACAATATATAAAGACATTATATTTGTGATAATTTGACCAAGAAAATGATAATCGCATATTCGTATTATATATATTCCATGATGAGATAAACCAGTCCTGACAAACATATCCGGTCAGACTTTTGTCACCGAACAGTAATACTATACAATCCAAAGCTACAGTAATATCCAATCCGGTCAGAAAAAAAGTGTTTAAAAAAAACAAAATAAAAAAGAAAGTGGGTACCACAATTATTATATATTATTATATATATTATGAGAAATGCTAAGTTACTGTTACGAAACATTTTGTTGGGTTTGTAATCGTTAAGTCATAATGTAATCAGATCATTATGTAACCGTCAGAGATAGTTTATTAATCAATTATAAATTTGGATAGAATAATTCCGTAACGTGACCGTAAAATTTTACGTCTATTATATAATATATACACACACAGCGGCTTTTAACAAAGAACAAAAAAACAGCCAAGCTTTGTTGAATCTCCTCATTTCCAAATTTCTTCATACTTTAGCAAAATTTTCCCTTTCCTTTCTCTTTTCATTCCGAGGGAGAGGATATTAATTTTCGCCCATGGCGAAAGTTATTAAAAATCATGTCTTAGCGATGCTGAGAGGAATTGTTTGTGTTCATTTATTAGCCTCAGTGGCGGTCGGCGCTAGGGTGCTGCCCACTCACCCTTACTTGGACGGGCGAGAACAACCCGCCGCCAACATTTTTGATACTTCAAAATATGGGATTTTTCAGCTGATTAATGGTTTGGCAGAAACTCCTCAGATGGGGTATGGCAAGTTTTGATCTTTACATTTATTTTTGTTCTTGTTTTAGTTTATTTAAATGGGTTTGATCAGTTTTTCCTTTAATCTGGGATCTTTGGTTGTGTTCTGTGAGGTTTAGTGGGGTTATGGTTGAAGGGTACTTGTAGCATCTATCTTATTGTAGCTTTCGCTTGTTAATTTCAGCTAGTGTGTGGGTTCTTGATCAGTTGATCGGGCATATTTATTTCTGTTTTTGCCTTTTCTGTATGTATATCTTCGATTTCCTTCTACTTAAGGGTTTGGGGAAAATTAATTGAGATTATTTATAAGAATGGAATTTGGTTATTCAGTAACCTTTGCATATATGGCATTTCAAGTATAGCTTACATGCCACAATCATACATTTTCGACGCAAAATTACACTCGCAATGCGAAAGTCGTGGTTTCAAAGTATCCCTCTATGTTTGGCTTGGATAGTAGGAGTTTTCTCTTTAAAAGTTTGAATCTTTAACATAAAAAAAAAAGTGTGTCCGCTTGAGGGCCGCGGTCTTGCAGTAACGTTTGTGTTTGTCGATTGATCAAACGGAATGACATGCTCTCGGTTCTTGTTTAGTTGGGGAGTTTTTGAAAAACTGAAAATTTTTAAGGGGTTTCTTCTTAGATTTAATCAAGAAATTTTTGGATAATTAATTTGTTTGTCTTGTGGATCAGATGGAGCAGCTGGAATTTTTTTGCCTGTGATATCAATGAAAAAGTTATCAAGGAAACAGGTTAATGCGTTCATTGCAATTTGTTTTGATGACTCGTTGACAGAATGCTTACTTGTGTGCTCAACAATGCTTGATAAAAGGGATCTTTGTGTACTGTTTTCTCCTAATTGTATGAACTACGATTCTAGTCGTCTAGAGAATCTTGCTTGAGAATGTTTTTTGTTTACTTCTTTTTGATAGTTTAAGAGCAAGAGTTCTGTACTATTGCATGAAACTAACCTCTTCTTTTGCATAACTTGGCAGCTGATGCTCTCGTTTCTACTGGCTTAGCCAACTTAGGTTATAACTACGTGAATATTGGTAACGTAGCAGACTTGTCTGCGTAATTTTTTTTTTTTACTTTGTGGGTTCATGCTCCTTTTACATCATTTTCTTGTTCATTAAGATCCCTTACATCATAAAACACAGATGATTGCTGGTCCGAACTGGTACGTGACTCAAAGGTAATGAGCATCTTTGAATCTCTTTGTATTTTATGCATGAGCATGTTAATTACCACGAATCTTGTCTTTATTTTTGTATTTTGCTAATCTGGTTACCCGAGCAATGTGCAGGGTCAGCTAGTTGCAGATGCAAAAACTTTTCCTTCAGGAGTTAAGTCTCTCGCTGATTACGTGCATTCAAAGGGCCTGAAGCTAGGTATCTATTCAGATGCAGGGTATGGTTAATTTCTTATCAGCTGACCCAATTAAACACAACTTACACTTTTTTATTTTTATTACATATTACATGTCTGCTGTTATCCCTGGTTGTTTTTCTTGATTCACGGCTTCCTTATTTTCTGCAGGGCTTTCACGTGCCAAGTTCGACCTGGATCTATTTTTCATGAATTAGATGATGCAAAACTCTTTGCATCTTGGGTGAGTGTGTTTGTTCTCCCACTATCTCCCTTGTTTATTTCTGCCTTGTATTTTCCATTTCTTATTAATCAACTTCGATGGTTAAAGTATAGATGATTTGGAATTTTTTCAAAGTTGACTTATTAGAAATTAAAACATTTTATCTTGTGTTCCGTTTTTTTCTTGGTTGTGTGACTGCTTTTCTTTATTCTGTGACTCAAATGCATTTTTTTTCGATGTTTGTCAAGGGAGTCGATTACTTGAAGTACGACAATTGTTTTAATCTGGGAATTGAACCAGAGAAGAGGTGTGTTTTAAAATTAATTACATATACTAGCATAAAATCAAACAATGTTCTTAATCTAATTATAAAGTTATGAAAAAAATTTCAGGTATCCACCAATGCGTGATGCCCTCAATGCAACTGGACGTCCAATATTCTATTCACTTTGTGAATGGTAAGCCTCCTTAACTCTACTTTTTCTATTCGCTCTTCTTCTGAATCTTGATTTGCTTACTAAATTTTTCGTCTTGCTTTGTTACGAAAAAATACTGGCAGGGGTGTTCATGATCCGGCTTTATGGGCAGGCCAAGTCGGACACAGCTGGCGAACAACAGATGACATTAACGATTCATGGGCGAGGTTTTGAACGTTAAACTAATGTTCTAATATTTGTCTCCTCTTAAACCAACTGATAATTACCATCACTAAAATAACCACCTTTTTATATCATATTTTTACCCAAATTTGCATTTTACTTGTGGAAAAAGTTCATACTGATGGGCTTATGATACTCTTTACGTTTAGCATGACCACAATTGCTGACATTAATGATAAGTGGGCATCATATGCGGGACCTGGTGGATGGAACGGTAGGATTTTGCATAGGTTTAAAATCATTTATAATTTTGCATTCCCCATGATTTTATAGTTTCTTTTTTATTTTCTCCTCTCCATAGACCCTGACATGTTGGAAGTTGGAAATGGCGGCATGAGTTACCAGGAATATCGCGCACATTTTAGCATTTGGGCCTTGATGAAGGTTCTCTTAATTTTATGGACCAAGGATAGAGCATTTTGGTTTCCGTTGATCTAGCATTTTGATCAGTGCAAGTGTAAACTTATCTTCTTCTTTTTTT